TTATGGGGTCATACATCAGTATGCATGGCTGTGCTCCAGTGAAAGCACAGAGTTGATGCAAGATAAATGGTAAAAGTGTGTGTGTGTGTGTGTGTGTGTGTGTGTGTGTCTCTCTGTGTGTGTGTCTCTGTGTGTTTTTGTGTGTCTGTGTGTCTCTGTGTGAGCGCGCATTGTCAGGCGTGTGTCTGTGTGTCTCTGTGTGTATGTGTGTGTGTCTGTGTATGTGTCTCTGTGTGTGTGTTTATGTGTGTCTGTGTGTGTCTGTGTGTGTGTGTATGTGTGTGTGAAGTAGGACATGTAAATGTATATCAAGTTCTTTAATTACTTGGTTCCTGAAATGCAGCTTATTTCAAATACTTCCCAGACCTCCAATTACTGGAGCTATGATCAACTCTCAGCCCCATCTGCTTGTCTGAAACCCGCTGTCGTTGTACTCTGAGGGTCTACTTCCTTCTTCTCAGGAGCTGCTCCCTATAAAATACTGAGCATGGCAGGAATGCAAGAGGCAAGCTGGTTCTTAGAAGATTCGAACCCTCTTCATGACGGACTTTCATTTAAGGCCCCTTGATGACCCTGATAAACCTTTAGGTTACTTGGGTGATTGTGGAAGACAGGCTTGAGCCTAGGGTCTAAGTCTTATTGACAGCCATACAGCAGGCCTGAGGCAACGACCCAACTGCTAGAGCCACAAGAAATGCCTTGTGACATTTGCTCCCATTGGCAGATCATGAGGCTGATGCCTAGAGCTTGACACTCCCTAATCACCACCCTTGGAATTCCAAATTGCAACACTTAGCTATTGCAACAGTCAGGGTCACGTGGTTTCCAGGAATCCAGGCTCTGTAATCTGAAACCCAGTATGCTAATGAGGCATCCTACCCGCTATTCTGTGATAGGACGCTAAGTCTGTTATGCTAATAAGGTTTCCTACTTGCTGTACTGTGATAGGACGCTAAACCTGTTATGCTCATAAGGTATCCTACTTGCTGTGCTGTGATTGGACCACTACCCCATATAAGCTTGTGCCTTCCTGCAATAAAGCAGACCTATGTCACTGAACCTGGTCTCCTGTGTCTGAATGCGGCTCCACTGACACAGTCTCCTCACCAGCCCTGGGGTCTGGGACCGGGCAGAAGCAGCGACGACAGGAGGCAGCACAGGGCGAGCAGAAGAGCAGCCTCAGCGTGGGCAAGTAGAAGAGCTGTCTCAGCACCGGGCAAGCAGAATGGCCGCAGCCCTGGGCAGGCAGAAGAGTGGCTTCAGCCCAGGGCAAGCAGAGGAGCAGCCTCGACACCCATGAGAATGGAGGAGCGGCCACCTCTGGCGGTAACCGCAGGTGATCACAAATGCTTCTAGTCAGTTGTCCTTCCTTACTTGGCTGCCTGTTCCTTTCTCTTAAAAACGTTTTCCTGGATTGAAATCCTGTATACTGAACTCTGCCTTTGTGTATATTCCTCTGGGGATCCCAGTGATGCACACAATTTTCACAAGAGACTCCAATATTTGGTATGTTGCATTTTGGGCTAAATGGGGTAACACACACACACACACACACACACACACACACACACACACACGCATTTTGGTTTAGAGAAACTGAAGAACTCCCCAAAACATTAAAGAAATAAATAACAGGGGTATCATGTGAGAGGTTTGGGTAGGAGCTTGCTCATGTCGAAACGACCTGGGAGGAAAATTAATCACTACACACCTTTAAAGCATTTTTAATTTTTATCCAAATGAATGTGTGAAAATTTTAAATAAAAAATCAAATACTTGTATTAAAAAATAATTTTAGAAAAAATAAATCAAGGCTTTGGAGACAGCACATAGGATTTCTCCCAATGAAAAGGATCACTCACCCCTGTGTAGTAATGCGCTACTTAAGATTATATGAATTCCAGGGTTAGAAAGAGAGCTCAGTTAGTAACGTGCTTGCCATGCAGGCACTGGCAGCTGAATTATAGCCCCAGAATCCATGTAAAAGTGCCAGACTTGGGAGCACACCCTTTTAATTCCAGTGCTGGAGAGGCAGACAGACAGGCGGATCCTTGGGGTTTGCTGACTAGCCAGCCTGGCTTACTTGGTGAGCCCCATGCCAGTGAGAGACCCTATCTCAAAAATCAAGCTGGGCAGCACCTGAGGAACACCATCTGTGTTGATCTCTGGCCTCCACCTGCATGCATACACACATGTAAATATACATATACATATAGTGGTACATATGTATAATTACTGAATTTCTTAATCCCCAATAAATTTTCCCCATTTTAGCATTCACTGAGAATCTCTTCTGGCACCAATTATGACACTGATCATTGCAGAATGTTGATTAGTTTTCATTTTTAGTATGTTTATTATTGAGTTTTTTTTTCTTTTGTAAAGAAAACTTTTCCTCCACTTCCCCTTGCTATTTATTCTTGGGTAACACTCTGGATTCAGGGCTTTTTCATATATGTGTGTGTGTGCATGTGCATGTGTGCCTTTAAATTTTTATTATTTATTATTTATTTTTAGTGTGTATGAGTGTTTTGCCTGAATGTAAGTGTGTCTAGTGCCCACAGAGGCCAGAAGAGGGTGTTGGACCCCCTGGAACTGGAGTTAAGGATGGTTGTTAGCCACCATATGAGTGCTGGAAACTGAATTTGGGTCCTCTTCAAGAGCAGCCAGTGCTCTTAACCACTAAGTCATTTCTCCGGCCCCATCACATGTCTTAATTTTTTTAACATAATTCTTTTTATTATTAAAATCCTTGAATATTGAACTCTGCCTTGGTGTCTGTTCCTCAGAGACTCTCACATTGATTAAAAGCTCAAGGCTAGCAGAAGAAGGGGCTATCTGAGGGGAGGGAATCAGCCATAACCAGAGGTGCAGGGGAAGGTGGGGGAAGGGGAATGACGGAAAACATCGTTTAATGACACATATGAAAATGCTGTAATGAAATCCAATACTTTACAGGAAAAATTTAAAAAACAGTAAGAAAGGGGGCATTGCCAGGCACAGAATCATCTCAACTTTCTTAAATTTGGACAATGAGAGCCTCTTTCAATGAGCTCCTTTTTCTCTTTAGCACTTTTCTGACTGTCTTGGAGTATTTCCTTGCTTTTTGGAACAAAGCTCCAGGTTCATCTTGATATTTACTGCCAGAGATTTGATCCCCCCGTTTGGGAGAATGGTTGACAGTGTGAGACTAAGATTTTTGAAAGGGGGTTGATAAAGGGCATTTAGAGTAAGAAAATATTTTGAGGGAATTTTTGGTCCTTGGATAGGACTCTCAGACCTGAATTACACTTACTGTTCAAGGCAGTTGTGAGAGTTAACAAACAGTCTCGTAATTGGCACATATTCAGCATTTGTTGCTTATTATCATTAGAGACATCTGTCCAACCAGATTAGTTTTTGTACGCTCCCCAATCACCTCCTGTCACATGCAGTCATGATTAATTTTAAGTTAACGTTCAGAGGATTAGTTTAAATGAGGCTGTAAAATGTTCTGAGGGCAACTATACTTTGTTTCCAAGTGGTGCTAAATGGGCATAGTCTTGGGGCTAGAGAGTGTTGGCTCAGAGGCTAAGAGCACTGACTGGTCTTGCAGAGGACCTGGGTTCGATTCCCAGCACCCACATGGCAGCTAACAATTGTCTGTAACTGCAGTTCCAGGGGATATGATGCCCTCTTCTGACCTCCGTGGACACTTCATGACACAGGTGCACTTATATCCAGGCAATACACTTACACACATAAAATTAAATTTAAAAATAGTTAAAAATTAAAAACCCGGCGTGGTGGCGCAGGCCTTTAATCCCAGCACTCGGGAGGCAGAGGCAGGCAGATCTTTGTGAGTTCGAGGCCAGCCTGGTCTACATAGCGAGTTCCAGGCCAGTTGGGGCTATAGGGAGACCCTGTCTCAAAAAGACAAAAAAAAATTGGGCACAGTCTCTAAAAGATGAAAATAAAAGATTCAGGGGAATCAGTAAATTTAAGGAAGCAAGGTGCGCGCGCGCGCGCGCGCACACACACACACACACACACACACACACCAACAAACTTCCTCTACATGAGAGACAGCCTAGTAAGATACAGAATGGTTGAATCCAGGCTCCACCACGTTCATTTCTCACTGTGAAGCTGAAGACTGGACTGAACACTTTCCCTATGCAGTTATCAATCTAAAATTTGGGTCTAAGGAAACAGCATAGCAACTGTCGTAGAGGGCATAGATAGTATTTGTGTCTCAGCTGGGACTTCCACCTGGTCTCGCAGAACTCCCCTGCAAGTGAAGGGACAGGTGGAGTTCCCTGGCTGAATTTATAGATCCATATAGCTCCAGTAAAGCCACACTATTAAACGGCTTTGCATAAGCATAGACCACTTACTTTAAATAACAGTAACTAACATCCTGGCACGACAAAGGCTAAATTAGACCCAGCAGTGGAGTTTTCCGCAAATACTTAATGAACGCCAACCCTGCACCACGGTTTTGCGTTTTGGGGATACATCTTGGCTGAGACAGAAATTCCAGTTTATTGTGTGCTCTGAATAGATTCCATGCAAACTTGCCTAGATCGTTTGAAAAGAGATCGAGAAAGTTCTCTCTAATGTCAATAGGATGTTTCCAAGGTCACAATACTATGTCTGATTAATCAGGCCCACTGCAGCCATCCCCAAAACTCATGTCTGCAAAGCTCAAGATTTAAGCCATCAGGCAGAAGATTCACCCTGCATCCAGCCAGGCTGAACAAAAAGCCAACCAGAAAGTTTTCCCCTAACTTTTCTGCCAAGAAACTCGAACCCTCGGAGGACAAAGGCGCACGTGTAGTACCGGAAACACCTGGCCAGCACTCGGGTCACCTCAGAGTCCAGGGCATCGCTGTTGGCTCTGGGACTTGGGTCACTAATCCTCAGAGAAGCAGCGCGAGCGCGCCCCCGCGTGGCGACGTAGCGTCAGCACCCAGACCGGAACGGAAGTGTCCCACGGAACCTCCGTGGTGCGTCCCGGGTTTCCGGAGGGAGAAAGGATGAGAAGGACCCGAGCGCCAAGGCGCCCTGCCTGCCATGGAAGCTATGGCTACTGCGGCCAGGGGGCTGCGACTTTGGCGGCCCGCCCCATGCGCCAGGATCGGCTGGAGTGAGTTTCCGCCGTCGGGAACGGGGAGAGAAGCCCAGAGGGGTGGTGCCGGGTCCTGGAGTTCTGGAAGGCGGAGGCCGAAGGGCGTTTCTGCCCTGTCGGGGCTGCGGCCTGTCTAGGTCTGGGAGGACAACTCTGGGGGTCGAGGGGTCGGGGGAGGAGGAGCGGCAAGGGCAGCGCTTGGGGTTCGTGTAGGAAGGAGCCTAGATCTGTGCCCGGTATGTATCCTCACCTTGAAGTCCTCGTGCTTGCCTGGCCAAGTCCCTGGCTTGGGGTTTGGAAGAGTTCAGCGTTTCTTACCCTAGTGATAGTTTGGACATGGGTCTTCCATTCTCGCAGCTTTGTTGTCCTTCCTCAAACCCTTTCAAGTGGGCAGCTTTGCTCTTCTTCCCATCGATTCCGGTCTAGTTTTCACTGCGCTTCCTGGTTACTTTTCTTAGCGTAAAGCGCGTATTGGAACTCCGCAGAAGAAATTGTGGGGAACATCAGATACGAGAGTTGAAGTAGAGGCGCGGATCTATGCTAGCTGCATCTGTCTCTGTTGAAATTTTAATTATTAATATTAGAAAGTGATTTAAATGGGCCCCTGAACGAATTTTGTTGGTTCTTATCCTCAGGACTATCGCATTGCGGGAGGGGAGCAGGGTGGGGTATTATTGGCAGTAAGTTACTCATTTATTCAATCTTCAATTTAAAATTTCAATAGGATTTGTAGCGACACCGCCAGCTGTTCAACTGTCACCCACCGAACTGATAGAAATGCAGAATGAGCTCTTTAATAAAGAGAAAAACAGGCAGTTATCATTATTTCCCCGAACAGAAAAAATTGAAGTTAAGCATGTTGGGAAAACGCATCCTGGAACTGTCTTCGTGATGAATAAAAACATTTCAACTCCTTACAGTTGTGCCATGCGTAAGTAACAGGATCAAGATACATTTTTGGCCATTTTTCATGAGCTCTGTAGAACTGCTGCAGAGGGAAAGATGCTGTGATTGCCTCACAAATCTGTGGGTTTTTAAATGGAACCTTACTGTCTTCTCTCTCGGTAGGTCTGGGTACTGCGAGTATTGCTACACTGCTATGGTATTATACAGGTTGCCTTGAAGTTTGCTTGAATCAGACTATGTTTAGGATGCTAAATTTTTTTCCCAGAGGAGACCAGATCTGAATGTGTTGGTGGTGGTGGGAATGCCCCGTACCATGTATTGGAAGCATTCATCTTGTCGGATTTTGAGATTTGATTTGATTTTTGCTACCATTCCTTTTTAGCTTTTTCGGGCCTAATGCGCCTCTTAACTGCTTGCTGCTTGCTGGTTGCTGCGTTGTGGTTTTGTTTCATTTTATGTGTATAGGTAGTAAGTGAATGAATGGAAGTAGAAGTACTGCAAATGTTAAAAACATTCATTGGGCTGGAGAGACGGCTCAGTGGTCAAGAACACTGGTTGTTCTTGCAGAAGACCCGGGTTCGAATCCCAGGATCCACATGGCAGCTAACAACTGTCCGTAACTCCAGTCCCAGGGGATCCCACAGCCTCTTCTGACCTCCGCGGGCATTGCACTACACAGGTGCACTTATCTACATGCAGGCAATACACATGTACACATAAAATTAAGAAAAAAAAAATATGTCACTAGAGAGAGAATGGGGCCTCATGCATAATTTGGTGTGGACATGAAGGCACTAGACACATGTGGATAGATAGGGCTTTGATAGATTTGGTATTTAAATTTCAATGTCCCCCAAATAGATAAGCATGGCTGGCTGCATTGTTTGAACTTTTTAGAAGATTCAGTAATAGTTCCATTTAAACAGTTGCCAGCCAAAGCTAGCCCAAAGAGGGTACACGCTCAGTCTCCTCTACTCTGGCGCTTACATTAGCAGTAGTGATAATTATTTACTCACTTGGTTTTCGAATATTTATCAACTCTGTGCTGTGTGGTAGGTATTACAGTTACAGAACAGAGTAAGGCAGACCTCAAGCCCTAAGGGAGTTCTACACACAGCACCTGTACAAATGAGGTTTCTGAGCCATCTTCATCATGACCTCTAAGACTTTTTTAGCTTTATACATTTAATCATTCCACAAACTCATTGAGCACTTACTATATTTCATTTCCAGTGCTGGGCTGTAGATGTACTGATGAGTGAACATGAATAGACCCAATCCTGCCCTTATACCTAATCAGGATTAGAATTGGTTATCAGGTAATAGAACAGACTAGAGCTGATGGCTTAGTGTGAATTCACAGTCATGATTTTACAGTGTTAACTACGGTATTTAATTTGGGATGTTTGTGTAATGGAATAAAGGAAGAAAAGGGTGGTTTGGGAGCAAGTCTCAAAAGTAGTGTAAACACATTTCTGTGAGTGTGTTGATATATTTTCCCTTTTCTTCTAACTTGGATATGCATCTGTCCATATATCCATGCTATTGTTCTTTGAATATTTAAGTGTAGCTCTTTGAAGATTATTTTATTAATTAGTTTCAAACTAGACTTAACCTTAATAAATTTTATGAAAGATTTGAGTGATGATGTTAATAATCAACAATGTCTTGTGTGTGCTGAAGTTTTTAAAAAAAATCGTTATTGACCTAATGTATAATACTTATGCAAAAAAGGCAATCCATAGAATTTTGTTTTTCATTGTTTTGTTTCATAATATAACAGTTAAAACATGTAACTTTTCACTTTGAATTTCATTAGATTTAGATCCTCAATCAATTTTAAATTCCTAGATTTAAGTGAATGGTACTGCAGGAAGTCCATTCTGGCTCTTGTGGACGGACAACCGTGGGACATGTATAAGCCTTTGACCAAGTCCTGTGAGATTAAATTTCTTACTTTCAAAGACCATGATCCAAGAGAAGTGAATAAGGTATTTTCCTGCCTCCCCCAGTTTTTTCTTTTTCTTTTTAAAATCAAACCCATTTTATGCAGAGCATAAAAATCTAAAACTGTGTCCAAAGTCATGTATGTGGTACTGTATTAGATAGTGCTTTACTTGTTAGTGTTTTCATAGTTCAGAATACCAATGGTATCAATTTGTCTGTATTTTGGATTGAGAAAACTACATGACATATATTTGCATTCATGACTTTGTAAAACTTTTGATAACTGTATTGTTGGAAATTCTATTCCCACTGATGCAGCTTGAATTCAGCCTTTGACCATCTTTCCTGGATGATTTCAGTAGCTTTTTGCCTCTCCCCGTTTTTTTATTACTTAAACTCTTCCTTCATAGTGTGATGAAGTTTTATTAAGTTACTTTACTGGGGTCTCGTCATTAATCCCCGAAGAATTTGTCTACCTGCTAAACACAGTTTTCTGGGTCCTGCATGGTCTGCCTCCTGCCTTCTCTTTTAGCGTTGACTCCTGCTGGATTCTCCCGCTTCTTGGTTCTGACCACATTGAGTACTTTTCCTTAGTCATTTATACTTTATTACCCTCCCTGCTTTTGTTGATGCTCTTCCTTCAACACTGAACATTTTCTTTTCCTTTTTAATTCTGTTTATATTTTATGGTTCAATTAAATGCCATCTGTTCTATAGAAGTTGCTAGATAGATAGATTCCTGCTTGTCAGAATTCTTTAAGATCTAGCAACAGCTGGGTGCTGTCTCTAGATACAGTACTTTAATCCTACAATGTGGGATGTATTAGATTCTTGCCTCCGTGAATGTAGGAATGGTTTCCTTGTTGGATCTGGTCTTGGACTTCATGTAGTAAATGTTTAATAAACATCTGTTGAAATAGGTAAGGAAATGATAGAGTTGTTAGTAATAACATTAAATATATATTATGTATGAAGTGCTGGTCTAAGGGATTCATAGGTATTTAATCTCATATAAACTCTTGAGAGTAGGTATTTTTCTCCCCATTTTCCTGATGAATAAACTGATAAAGAGAGATTTGGCAACTTGATCAAGGTTTAGTTTATAACGTGGTAAAGCCTGGTTATGACCCTAGGTATTCTGTCAAAAGCTTAATAGATTTTGATTGGGATTGCATTAGTGTCATGACTGTTCTGAGTGTAGCCAACCACTTGCTGCTTGGATACAAGGCTGGCTGCATGGGAGGGAACACATGATACTGTAAACTTGGTCAAGAGTCTAGAGCTAGGGAGATCACTGGCCCTGTGGGAGAATCTACTATTGAAATTTGCTAAATGGGCATGTAGTGAAACTGTCTTCTAAATACCTGTTTATTCCCCTGGAGTGGCACAGCTCTCCACCTTAGGCAGAGAGAAGCCTCTTGGGCAGTGGGCAGCAGTCAAATCAGAGACTCATGACCTGTCAGAACTAAGAATAAGGGACTGCTGAGTGCTCAGCCTTAAACAGGACATCTGTACCACCCATTCCAAGGCCCAGGGATTTTGTGGAAGAGGGGTAGCAGGACTAAGAGCCAGAGGGTCGGGGAGAGCTATACAGTGCTGTCTTCTGGATGTGACATGGCCACTGTGATCATGAAGACACAGCAGCTGTGATCACCTGCACAAGGGCAGCACAAAAACCAAAACCAAACATAGACACAAAAGTAGGAGGACACTGGTTGGGAAGAAGGGCAGTAGGAAGGGAGGGGGTTTGATAACAGTTCCCTCATTGTCTGCAAGTAAGAGAGTGTCAGAAATTTAAAGTGAGGTTGGGGGTGGTGGCACATGCCTTTAATCCCAGCACTCAGGAGGCAGAGGTAGGTGGATCTTTGAATCCCAGGGCAGCCTTGTCTGCATAGTTAGGAATAACTTGTTTCAAAACCAATGAACCAACCAACCAACCAGTTTCCCCACCTCCGCACAAAACACAAAAGATTAAAAACAAAACAAAACAAAACCCCTGATTACACAAAATGCTTTTTGAAAAAGCTCAATAGCCATTTAAAAACACCTAACCTGGATGTAGTCATCCTCAGTCTCAGCATGTAGGAGGTTGATCTAGGAAGATTATGATTGCAAAGCCAGCCTGGGCACTATGGCAAGACAAACAACTCCAAAGAACCTCCCCTCAACAAAAATCCCATGCAAGGACAGATGAAAATGTGTTTTGATACTTGCCATTAAAACTGTCCTTTGTTTTTATCTTTCATGTAGTATGGCTGTAAATAGTATGTTATAGAATGGCACAACTTGCTTTTTAGAGTTGGTACCTGCAGGGGGTATTATGATGGTTGGGAATGGTGCTGGATGCCGAGTTCTTTTGACTCTGGTGAGGTCAGCGCATGTCTGACCTGTCTGTTTGATGTGCTAGTAGAAAGGAAGTGCAATCAGTAGAGGCAGCTTTGCGTAATAGGAGTATCTGGAGTGCTGAGTGCTAAGTATAGGCTGGAGTCTTAGATCTTTGTTTCTTTATTTGGTTTTTTTGAGACAAGATCTCACTGTGTTATCCTGCTGGCCTGGAACTTGCTGTATAGACCAGGCTGACCTCGATCGCAAAGAGATCTGCCTGCCTCTGTCTCCTGAGTGCTGGGACTGAAGGCATGCACCACCACGTCTAGCCAGAGTCAAAAATCTTAAAAGTTGAGCTTTCCCTCACCATATTTATAAAGGTATATATAGTTATTACATTAATATACTTATTCAGCACTAATTTGCTAGGAGTTTAACTTCATCATCCTGTATTAAAAATACTATAAAGTAATAAAACTGTCTTGATTGGTAGGTAACCACAGAGTCTGTTACTTCACATGGAAATGTTGCCAACCTCTTGAAGGTGGTGTGGTCTTCCTTGCTGCTTTTGCTGGGTACAAGTGATGCTGCAGCAAGACGGGACCTCTCCTACATGCCGAGAATGCTCAGATCTTTGAGAAATATGCTCCAAGCCAAAAGTTGGCTTAAAATTTAATATTGTAGAAACATTAGTGAATTTTTGTTATTCTGTCTGTGCTTTTCTTTCTCTAGGCTTATTGGCGGTCTTGTGCCATGATGATGGGCTATGTCATAGAAAGGGCATTCAAAGATGAGTATGTGGTCAGTTTGGTCAGAGCACCAGAAGTTCCTGGTAATGTACACATATAAATATTTGTACTTTTAAGATCTGTGAATATTTTGATACTTAGTTTTGATTATGTACAGAGTTTATTTCTAATCCTATCTAGTACAAGACTATGCATATATTTCAATTATTGTAGGTAACAAATGATCCTGTTAGGAAATATGAAATAATTCTTGGGCGTCAGTAGTTAACATAATAAAATAATGGAAAACATTACTCTTGAATATAAGTTTCATAGAATTATGCTGTCACAGTGTTCAGTTATTTACCATTTGAAGCCTGTGTGTTTCTAAATGGATGTGTGGAGGATGAGGAATGGGGTTGTAAGGCTGCTGAGGAGAGCTGTGCTTAGGCGCCATGCTCCAGAGGCACAACTGGAGAGGACACCACTTTGATGAAGTACAGGGTCTACAGTTTCTCTTCATCATGCAGAGTAGGAATGTGTGCAAATTTTTAAAGAAGTGTATACGCCAGAGTACTTGAAAGAGGCTCAGGTCATGATTCTAAGAACAGAGAGGGGGTGGGGAAAGGGGGTGGAGAGAGAGAGATAGATAGAGATAGATCCAGGAGATATCATAAAAGTTCAGCTTTCATGTCTGTTTAGCCATTCATATACATAAATGTCTTGTTCTTTTGGAGTTTCTATATCTAGTATCCATCTGAGATTCCTGTAGTGATAACCTTCCTGAAGAAAGTGTGACTGTTTAGAAAATAATGGTGCCTTTGTATTAACAAAAGAGGGGAGCTAATTTTTAGATGGGAATTTTATAGAGCTCTAGCAAGCAGCTGGGATGATGGTAATACTTTTATAATTTGTAGTTAGGAGAGATTGCTAGTTTTCATTTTATGGTCTAAATAATCCTTTGTTATAGATTATAAGCTTTTTGCCCTAACAAATTTGTCTTTGATTTTTTTTATTTTTATTTTTATTTACAGTAATTGCTGGAGCCTTCTGCTATGATGTAGTTTTAGATAAGAGACTGGATGAGTGGATGCCAACAAAAGTAGGTATATGCTCTGGAGGATTAATTTTACAGTTAGAATGATTACTGTTACTATTGTTGAATGGTACTGCACATTGAGGACACAAGACAATCTCTTTTTTTTTTTGACAATCTCTTTTAGGAGTATCACTATCCATCTGCAAACACCCTGTCTGTCTGTCCGTCCGTCCGTCCGTCCGTCCATCCATCCATCCATCCATCCATCCATCTTGTCTCTATCGGTTTATTTGTGGTTGATTTTTCAGCTTATTTGTGACATGTATGTGTGAATTAGGGTATTCACAGTAGCAGAGTCATGTGCATTGTAGGTTTAGGTGGTTTTTTTTTTTTTGAGTGCCATTCTTAAGGTAATAGTTTTGGGGATGTTTCTTGTTCACCAATCTCACTCCAGATTCAGTGATAGACCCTGTCTCAAGGGGATAAGGTGCAGAATGACAGAACAGGGCACCTGATGTTCTCTTCTGGTCTCCACATGGGAGTATTCTGTACATGTACCTCCCTACACATGTGTGAATGTACCACACGTACATTACACATGCATGCACAGATATATACTTGCTTGCTTAATCTGTTGGTTGGTATTGTGTTAGGGGAACTGGAGCCATACTTACTTGGATTCCCAGAGCACAATTTGAAAACAACTGCCTTAAACTGTTTTAGTGTGTTACATACTATAAGATTTCTGTATATGTGCAGGGGTCATATCAAGAGGGGGATGAAAGCTGGGGAGATGGCTCAGTGGTTGTGAGCACTGATTGCTTTTCCAGAGGACCTGGGTTTGGTTCCCATCACCTACATGGTGGCTGTCTGTAGGTACCAGGCATGCATATGGTGCATTTAACATACATGCAGGCAAAATACTCAGACACATAAAATAGAAATAAAATCTTAAAAAGAAGAAAAGAGGGGAGGGGAAATGCAGGCTGGGGAGATGGCTCAGCAATTAAGAACACTTGCTGCTCTTGCAGAGGACCTGGGCTTGGTTTTGATTTTTGATTACCCACCTCAGAGAGCTCACAACAGCTTGTAATGCCAGCTTCAGAGATCTGACACCATTTTCTGGGTTCTGTGGGCACCAGCATACATGTGGTACCCATATATACACTCGGGCACACATATATACACATAAAGTAAGTATTTTTTTCGAAAAAGAAAGGGGTGAATTAAAGAATAAGGCTTATAAAACCCAAATACCACACCAGAACCAGAAGGCATTGTATATGGTCTCTGCCACAGTTGATGGTGGTCTAGTTGTTCTGGGATTCAGGTAGCAGTCTAGAACAGGTCCCTAGTAGGTAGTAGCTACTGATGATTATGAAGGGTCGGGCCTGGACTCTTACTTATAATTACTATAGTCAGCAAATGTCTAATTTCTGATTAAGCAAAGCTATATGTCCCATGGACTGGGGGTCTAGAGATTAGAAAAGGGAAGCAATAACATTCCATTTAATTAATTCCAAAGTATTCATTTTTGTTTACATTTTAGTATATCAAAATAAATGTACAGAACATGGCATCTTAAGAATTATGATAGTAAGTGTCTGTTTTCTTAGCAATACATGAAATGCTGTAGTTACTAAAATCAAGGGCTTTGGGAGCACGAGAAATGGCTCAGTGGATACATTTGCTGGGCACAGAAGCAATCTGAGTTTGAATTCCCTGAAGCCATGAATAATAAAGCCAGACTAGCTAGTGAGATGGCTCAGTGGGTTAAGGCACTTCTTTCCACCCCCATGCACATATATACACACACACACAGTACATAAATAAAAATGTAATGAAAAAGCTGGACACACTAGCACGTGCATCTCCCATTCCAGCATGCCCCTGCAGAGGGCTGGGGGGTGGAGACAGGATAGTTGTTTAAAGGTTGAGGGCCTCTGGCCTGCTGTGTGTAGCAGTGAACAATAGGGAGACCCTGCCTCAGGCAAGGTGGATGGTGAGGACCAGCACCTGAGCTTGTCCTCTGACCTCTACCTGTGTACTGTGGTATGCACTGTCACTCGCTGTCTCTGTCTCTGCCTCTCTTCACCCCAAGTAACTAAACAAAATAAAAATAAAATCCAGGGCACTAGAGTCAAAGTCTAGTTTTAAATTCTGGCTTTGGAAATTACCTGGGTTTTTTAATCATAATTACTTAAGGATTTTTGTTGTTCTCCCTGTTGTCTCCCTATAACCCCAGCTGGCCTGGAACTCACATGTAGACCAGGCTGGCCTCATCTGCCTTTGCCCCCTGAGTGCTAGAATCAAAAGTGTGTGCCCGGCCATCCAAATTTAAGACTGGATTTGCATTTTATTGGAGAGAGTTAAGTAAAAATTATAGGCTCAAGATTTAACTGCCATTATCTCTGAAAATTGCTGCTCTTTCTAAGACTTGAATGAAGGAATTGTACTAGCTGGTGACTCCTTGTTGACTGGATGACTTAGGGAAAGCAGAGAGAGTCTCTCTGAAGGAGTGCTTCTATTAAACCAGGAATATGGACTTTTTATAAGACTTGTCTCTTTCAGAATGAGAGAATGGCCTACAAATGTCTAATAGGAAGTTTGTCATAAGTTTGGCTGTGGGAGGGGAAGAGTCTTGCCACAGGACCCTGGGTAGCCTTCAGATTGCTCCTCCTGCCTTGGATATCGGGCAGAAAAAATTTTATTGTAACAATTATTTGTGTAATGGTGTTTGACTTTTTTCTGGATTAGTAATGATTTATGACATGAAAATGTACAAATTTTTATTAAAAACATCGTAAGATGTTGGTATGTGTTAATTATTTTAGTTGTATGAAGTTAATGTTTTCATTGAATGGGAATTTAAAATTTTGAACATAAACTGTTTCTTATGGGGCCAGCGCTGACACTGCATGACTGGTGACCCCGGGTCATGGAAACAATGGTGTTTTCCTCTATGTTTAACAAGCTTATTTTCATGTGTATGCAGTGTACATAGGTGCTTATGTCTTCTTGCTTATTAGCATCCTTGTTGCATTATAATCTTAATAAATATTTATTAGTCTTATTTTGGGTGAAATAATTGAGTTATACTTAATATGCAATGTCGGATAATATAGCTATATTACAAGTTTTATAGTTTGTAGAAGTAGAAGAATAAAAACTTTCCTAATAGCTTTTCTTCTTCCATTTTTCTTTTTCTAAAGTTAGATTTGCAGTACTAAGTAAGTGTACATTTTGTGTCATCTTTTTATGGAGAAATGCTTTTAGGTGAATTGGTAGTAAAGGATCATATTTTCATTTTAAGGAGAATCTGCGTTCTTTCACAAAAGATGCTCATGCTTTAATTTATAAAGATCTTCCGTTTGAAACTCTGGAAGTTGACGCAAAAGTGGCATTAGAGATATTTCAACACAACAGGTAAGTGTTGGCTGCGTTTAAAACAAAGCTGAACCTTTGGAATAACGTAATGATGAAAGCTCAACTTTTAAAAATTTTCATTTACTTTTTATTTATTTATTTTTTTGGCACAGGAGGCTGAACCTAGGGCCTTGTGCATGTGAGGCAAGTGCTCTCCCACTGAGCTCTATCTCCAGCCCTCATTTTGCTTTTCACTTTGAAACACAGCCTCACTAAGTTGCCCAGGCAGGTCTTTTACATGGTGGATTTTATTTAACTAGCATATCTAAAATGGTTCTTTAGCATATGATCAATAGCAAAAACTATTAATGAAATTTTATATTCTTTCCATAACAAATCCTCAGAATCTGGCGTGCCTTTTACATTTGGGGCATATTTTTACTAGGACTAATTACATTTTCATGCTGATAGCCTAATGGACAGTGTACCCCTGACTTCATTTTGTGTTGCTGAAATTTCCCTTCCCCCCACTTAACTGTCAAGTTTTGATATGGGCTTCTGGAACATTGTATCTTATCTGTCTATGATTGGGGAAATGGACAATTTGGGGTAAGTTTAAGAGGACAAGATGTTGGACTGTGGAAAGTGAGTGATTGGGCCTTTCTGCTTTTGAGAGAAATGTAGGAAACAGTGATTTTTGACTTACAGGGGATGAGCATCTCATGGAGGAGGGTCAGGGGAGAGACAAGTGTTTCCATCTGCATGGGGTCTCTGGTAGAAGAGGGATGTCGGGTAGTAGATCCTTCTGCATAAGCCAGTGCTTCCCAGTTGCAGCCACATTCATGCCCTCAAATTAAAATATCGTCTAATGTCTGCATGGCACTAGGGGATAAATGGATAAAGTTTTTAAATTTTTAAAAAATATTTTATTTATTTTTTGAGACAGGATCTCACTATGTATCCCTGGCTGGCCTGGAACTCACTGTGTAGACAAAGCTGGCCAAGAAGTCATAGAGATCCACCTGCCTCTGCCTCCTGAGTTCTGTGATTAAAAGCATGTACCACCATGGCTGGCCAGATAAAGTTCTTAATGGTTTTCACCTGGGGCTGTGCATTTCTGCATGTGCTTTTAGTTACACTGACATTTGGGTAAATGCAAGTGACATTCAGGCAATAGATCTGACAGGACTTGGTGATTCAGTGGGTAGAGGGGTGTGGTGGAAGGAGAAATCAAGAAGTCTTGGGTTTTTCACTTGGATGTGTGGATGGTCATGCCATAATTAAGTGAGGAAATGCATGAAGAACAAGTTTGACTTAGAAAAGAGGGAGATTATTCAGTTTGGACATTTGGGATTTAAGATATTTGAGGACCATCCTGGTGGGTCTTAGGGTTTTGGATCTACAGCTTGAGGCCCAGAAGAGAGACATGGACTAGAGGGAGAGGTATGGAAGGTGTAACTGCATCAGTGGGAGCTAACACTCGTAAATCAAGAAGCTGGCTTAGAGTAAAAAAGAGGGCCGACAATAAAATGTTGGTACAAAGAGAGGGTGCCGAAGAGGTAGAATAGCAAGTGGCAGGGAATGCCACTGCGGCCTGTGGAAAGAGCAGTATAGTGGCAGTGAGCAGTGAACAGTGTTAAGGAAACAAAGGACTGAAAGTGCCCCTTAGGCCTCAAGCAGGTGCCTGTGACTTCCGAGAGGAGCGTTTGCTAGAGTTGGGGGATCTGTGCATTGAGCAGAGGGAAGTGAGGAATAGGAGGCTCCAGTGAAACCCCAGCGGAAGAGGAAAGGGAGGCATCTTTAAATATGGTTTTGTGTATTTAGAGTTTGATTTCAGTTTTTTTCTATGCTGCTTTTCAGGTATAAAATAGACTTTATAGAAGAGAGGGCGTCTCAGAACCCTGACAGAATAGTCAGACTATACAGGTAAGGAAGAATGAAGATGGCGGCTGTGCTAATGTGGAGTGAGCCTAGCATCTTTGTTACCCTAATAGAGTGTGGTGACTGGAATGGAGGACTGTGTACTGTTCTGCATTATTCTTAATTGCTTTATCACTTTGTTCGGTCTTACCATGGGGGGAGTAAATGGAAATTTTAAATTATTTTTAGGTACAGTTGTGCTTTTAAAATGTTCTTGTCTTATTTTTGACCTTTCAGTTTGTGTGAGACAGGGTATCTATGTAGACTGGCCTTAAATTGTGATCCTCCTGACTCAGCCTCCTGAGTGCTGGGATTACAGGCATGTGTCACTTTTATTTGTTTAAAGATTTTAAAATGTTTAAAATGTAATTTTTAAGAATTTATTTTGAAATTGGGCAGAACATTCAGTTATGAATTGAAATTGATAATCTGCATAGAACCATGTATGCTATTTGTTGTGTTTCATGTAAATTAAATTGGAATGTACTCTCTGATGCAAGGATAAGAGAAATCCACTGCGTATATTGATATTCCCCTATGGGAGCAAGCTCTAGGAGAGAGGAGAGTGGGTGAGGAGGGAGGGAGGAAGGGAGAGAAGGAGAGAGGGAGACTGAGAAAGTTTTTTGTGGGTAGTGCATGTGTGTAGGAGTGAACACAGATGTACACGTGTACAATGGAGTGAATGCATCCAGAGGCCAGAGGAGAACACTGGCTACCTTCTATTGCTTTTTACCTTACTCCCTTGAGACAGGGTCTTTTACTGAACGGGAAGCTTGTAGTTTCGGCCAGGCTGAATTACCAGTGAACTCCTGAGATCCAACTGCCCTCACCCCCCAACACTGGGTTTACAGGCATGCCCAGCTATGCCCAGCTTTTATGTGTTGAGAATTCAAACTCATGCTTGCAGAGCAAGTGCTCTCATCACACTGAGCCATCTCCCTAGCCCCAGAGTACCAGGATTTTTTTCTTCTAGAAGCAACTGTCTGGACTCAATGTGTTCTGCATACTGAATTGTAAACTCAGTACAGTGGGTTACTATAAGGTTGCAGGTCATCAGTTTTAGACAGTTGGCTCTGCTGGTAGCATGATGCTTCCAGATTCTTAAAACCCTTTACATTTGTATGAATGGTAATTAGGAGGGTCTCTTGTCATTTCTAGTTATTATCTTGAGATTGTTATAGTAGGATTGGGCCAGATTCTTAACCTGGATGGAGCAGTAAGGAGAATAAGTCAATTTTAGACTACTACAAATGATTTGATACTGAGGTTTTCTTTACTTATTTTTAACTCCAACCAGAATTGGTGACTTCATTGATGTGAGTGAAGGGCCTCTAATCCCACGAACAAGTGTTTGTTTCCAGTATGAAGTGTCTGCGGTCCACAACCTTCAGCCAGCTCAGCCAAGTCTCATACGAAGATTTCAGGGTCTGTCTTTACCCACTTACCTACGAGTAAGTGAAGCTTACAGTTCCAGGTCTTCTAAATTGGGAGTGGGTGGGTTCTAGATTGGTTTTATATCAGTTTGAAGATCATACATTTTAAAATTGTTTGCAAACTCCTTTTTGATATAAGACAGATTTGTCCAGGATTAAAGGTTCATTCACAAAAGAAAGAATTTTTGGACAAATTAGATCAGATTGAGACAGTATTTTTACTTTTTCCAAATAGCATAGGTGAAAATAAAAGTGACAGAGCATTGCAGACATGGGAGTGCATGTTAGTGAGGCCCCTCTTCCCCTACTTTTAATGATGTGTTCATCATTCAAGACCTGTTTTTTTCTACATGCCTCCAACTCTTGCTAATGCTTTTTCTTTTTCTTTTTCATAAGACATAGTAGATTTCATGTACTGCCATCTGGTTACTTAAGTGGTAACATCTAACACAAGTACAGTATCACAAACAGTGTGGACATGGCTATAGGAACCATCAGCTGGGTGAGGCTGTTCCTGGGGTTTCAGGTCTTTGCATTGATCATGTGAACATCTCTCTGCTGGTACCCACAGCGTTGATTGCTGCAGCTAAGAATCGGTCATGAAATCAGCTGGAGTCATTTCTCCCGTGTTATTGTTCTTTATCAAATGCATACAATATATACAAATATAGAAAGCTTATAAAATATATACTGGTATGCTTATATCAAAATTGTTTTAACTTTTGTAGTTCCTTCGCACTTCCATTTAATTTTAGTGTAATCTTTTTGAGATCATAATAGGAATTTCATTAAACCTTTCTAGTGATTTAGGAAGAATTTTTAAAAATGTGTTGAGTTTTCCAGTGTATTAATTTACATTTTCATTTATTTAAATATTTTTTCATTTCTTTCATTAGCGTTTAAAATTTTTAGTGTTCATAGCCTAATTAAACTGAGGGACCGAGAAACTAATAGTTAAAACAATTTTGGTAAACTATAACGTGGGAGGAATTCTTTGTGATTTTACAACCTGTTTATGGCTACAGTAATCAAGACTGGTGTTGAAGAGGATGGACACATTCGATCAGTAGGACAGAATCAGAAGCACTTGCACACAAACGCTGTGCTGCCATGCCTGCATGCTGGGTTTTCCTCTGCTTCCCTGCTTCCTTTTCTGCCCTTTGTGTTGTTCCAGGGAATCCCTGATTCTTTCTCTTCTCTCCTGGGCCGTGTGTCCCTTCCATCCACTACCAGATCCTTTCTGCTCCCAGCTCTGACACGTGCTCTGACTCCATGCACAGCACAGATCTCACTGCTGCACTCTGATCCGTTTCACTTCACTCTTCTCACTTCCACTCCTGCTCTCCACAGAGTCTTCTACTGTACAGTCAGAATGACCTACTTATTGACCTTTTTTGCTTGTTTTTTTGAGGCAGGATCTCAGGTAGCCTAGACTGACCTTGAACTCATTGTGTAGCTCAGGATGACCTTGATCTTCTGGTTCTCCTGCCTCTACCTCCTAAAGGCTGGGGTTACAGGCTTGTACTACTCTGGCCAGCTCAGAATGATCTTTTTAATACATAAATTATATAATTCTTCTGGCCCCTTTCTCATTGGTTTCCCTTGAATCAATGCCACCTCTTTTTCATGTCTCACAAAGCCTGTACAGTCTAGCCCCGCTGCTTGCCGGCCTCAGCTCATACCACTCTCTCCTTCACCGCTCTACCCAACTGTGCTCTTTGAGTTCTCTGCACAGTTGTTCATTCTGTTGAACCAGGTCTGGTTTTCCTTTTAGGCATACCATTGATGTCTTTAGAAGGATTTACATATAGATAGTTAACAATTTTCCTTTAAAAAAACTTTTTTGATGTATGTATTTATTTATTTTTATTTTATGCTTATGAGTGTTTTGTCTGCATTTAAGTGCAACCATGCCATGCAATACCTGCAGAGACCAGAAGAGGGTGGAAGATTCCCTGGATCTGGAGTTACAGACAGTTGTTAGCTGCCATGTGGGTGCTGGGTCTGCCATTTCAGTGTCACTTTAGTACTGCTTAACTTCTTATTTGAGTTTTTAGAGAGAATATAGAGAGGCTAGAGCGATAGCTTAGCAGTTAAGAGCACATACTGCCCTTGCAGAGGACCTGAGTTCGGTTCCCAGCACCCATATTGGGTGGCTTACAACCACCTGAAACTCCAGCAGGCTTCTGGCCTCTTAGGGCACCTGCACTTATGTGCACACACCCACAAACAGGAATACACTTGTACATAATCCTTTTAAAAAGTCCTACATAACATTAGGTTTGGGGGCTGGAGAGATGGCTCAGCAGTAAGAGCACTGGCTGCTCTTGCACCTGGGTTCTGTTCCCAGCATGGCAACTCACAACCATTAGTAGCTCCAGTTCTAGGGGATCTGGTGCCCTTTTCTGGCTTCCACAGGCACTGCATGACACAGGTGACACATACATGCAGGCAAAATGCTCATACACAGAAAATAAAAATAAGTATTTTTTAAAAATCAGATTAAAAAAAATCCTTATTTAATTCATAGAAATTTTTTTTCAGGCACATTTTACAATATGGGATAAGCTATTGGAAAGATCTCGGAAAATGGTAAGTTTTTCACTGCTGAAATTTAAGAAATTTCTTTGAAATTATGCACCGGCAATCCCAAAAAAGGGGATAGGGGTGGCGAGAAGCAAAGAAAACCAAAGCCCTGACTTGCTCTCTAGCAGGGAGTGCATGACTATAGGCCCCAGGACGCTTTTGGCAAGAATACAGCCATAATTTGCTTTGAGTTTCTTAATAGCATACAAATGATACAAATGCAAACTAGAGAGATATAATATAGCAGTTGTTCTTAATAGCTGTAGCTGTCTTAATATCAATTGCCCCCACCCTTTTTTTTAGTAAACCTAGTGAGCATTTAAAGAACTAAGATTTGTGAGATTTAAAGTTGCCTTGACTGTTAAATGTATAAATGTCTTAAAAAACCAGATTCAAATACACGTGTCTTTAGTCTTTGAGTTCTACAAGTACAAGTTTGTCCGTCAGCTTCAGGTACATTTCTGACCTCAGCTGTCCACTATTTCACAGGCTAAGCACCCCTCTTGTGTTATCCGATACTGCCCTGTGTGGTCTGGCTTCCCAAGCTCTTCCTACTTTAATTTTCCATTATTCTGCAAATACTGAAGTCAGGTTTACAGGCAGACATATTAAGCACATAGCAAACTTGTTTTCACGTTTGCTCATTTCTTCATGACTGTTTTGTCCATGTAATAGAAACATGGGCAGAACTATGCCTGTTTGGACTAGATCTATAACATGTTATATTCCAAAGAGAGCTATACCTCACAATAAAGTAAATTGGTTTAGAATTCCTGTGTCTCACTTCTGGTTTTTTTCCCTCATATTAATCTTTTGTTTTATAATTGAAAAATGAAGCCTAGTATATGCTATAGTTTTGAGTGTTAGCTGCACTTGATAATTTATATTGTTAACTTGGCCTTTAAATTTTTTTTTTTGAAAAAAATTACTTTTAGTTATATTTTTCTTGGCTGTGTGTATACTGGTATGCATGTAGTGCCTGTGGGGGCCAGAAGAGGGTGACAGAGCTGCCATGTGGGTGCTGGGACTCGAACTCATGTCCTCCGGAGGAACAGCAAGTGCACAGCGAGTGCTCTTAACCCCTGAGCCACCTCTCTAGCCCCTAAATTTTTCTTCTTATTTAGCTTTTTGTAATAATTACTACTGAAGGAAAGAGGATGAAGTTTTTTAAAATTTTTATTTATTATTTTTATGTGTGAGTGTTTTGCCTGTATGTATGTAGGTATACCCATGCCGTGCAATGCCCACAGAGGCTAAAAGAGGGCATTGAATTTCCCTGTACCTGAAGTTATAGATGGTTGTTAGCTGCCATGTGGGTGCTGGGAACTGAACCTGGGTCCTCTGCAAGAGCAGCCAGCTCTTAACCCTGAGCCATCTCTTCAGCCCCAGAACAGGGTTTTACAGGAGAGAGACTGGAAGGATTTAGCTTACGAGTAAAGGGTTTTTAAAACAAAGTTTTTACTAGAGAAGTAAAACTATTTGTATTTTTACAGGTAACAGAAGATAAAACCAAACCAACAGAGGAAATTTCATCTACTTAATAACTTTCTAAAGTTTAAATATGTATAGTAAATTAAAATAAAAGCTTTTAATATGTTTGTGTGTGCTTCTACTCCATGAATACAATACTTCAGCTAGTTTTTCCCCCCGTATGTTTAAACATATGTGAACATGCACTGTGTCTCTTGCCATATTTTGTTATCTAGATAGTGGCGTAGTAAGCGTCCTTGCAGAATGGGCATGTGTTTGTAAATAGAGGATACCATTAACTGAATATATACTGTGCAGGGCTGAGCCCGTCACATAACGCTTTTTTTTTTTTTTTGGTGGGAGTGTCACTATATAGTTCAAGCTGACCTGGAACTTGCTATTCCATCCTCCTGCCTCTCCCTCCCAAGTGCCTGGATTAGAAGTGTATTTTAATTCACATACTCTGTTGAGAAGCAGTTTCTATTTCATGAATACGGAGACACAGTGTAGACTTTGAAAGCTGCAGAGCTGGGATTTGACCCCAGGTGACTTCATTCCTGATCTCTTTTGACTCCCTGCTTCCTCACATACAAATATCTTTATAGGAAGACATTTCTGGTAGTGAATTTCTCTTAGATGCTACCTCCAAAAGGTTTTACCAAAATATATTGTCAGCAGTGTCAGAGAATACCTGTTTCCCACACCTTGGGAAGACTTTGATTATTGGTTTTTAAAAAAATACCCCCCCCCTTTCTTTCTGTTCTAGTGTGCGCAGCCCTCTGGACCTGGTGCACAGGCTTACACTGCCGATCTTTTTTTTTTTCCCTCACCTATGTAGGATCTATTTTTTTTCCTCGTTCATTGTCTATTTCTCATTTTATTGGAGTTCATCTTTAAGATCCTTCCTAAAGGAAAATGCCTGAGGTGAGTCCTTTGTGACTAAAGTGGCTTTGTTTTGCACTTATCTCTGACTAGCTGTCTGACTACATGTAGAATTCTTTATTGAAAAATAATTCCCTATCAGAACTTCAAAAGCAGCCCAGTTGGCTTATAGGATGTGATACTAGTAAGACTGACGACAATCTGATTCTTGCTTGTTTTCAGACCTGCTGTTCTGCACCCCTAATCCCCAGCACATTCTGGACATTTCCAGAACCTGCTTTTGGTGTTTAAAAATTCTACTCTTCCACAGCATTATCAGTCTCTGTGATCAGTTGCTCTGCTTGGTCCTTAGTAGGTCTATTTAATTTTTGGCATCTCAAGAGAAATGTTTTAAGAAATCTTAAATTTATTCCTTCTGTTTCTCATACATTGTTTACTATTTTTCCTGATTTATATGGTAATCATTAAAGTTTGGTCAAGCATATTTAATTTCTAAAAGCTGCCTTCTATGTCTTGCACATGATATCCTATTTGTGTTTAGCAAAAGTGAATTTCTTGGAAGGCACTAATAGGGCTGTCACTTATTTTCTAGCAGTCTCTGCAATTCTCTTTCTCTTGGCAACAGATTACTATTCATCCATCTGTCATCCATCTCTCCATTTGTTCATCTCTCCATCATCCGTCTGTCCATCTTAGTCTTTCATATTTCAGGCTGTTTTCAAATATCTGTTTTTCATTAGTTGTCACTTCACAGTTGAAAATATGGTTGTAGGAGGTTAAGTGGCTGCTGGGTAGTATTTGGTTTGTAGGCACTGGGTGAAGAAGCTGCTTTGGTGGTTTTCTAAGTGCTGGAATGAACAGGTCTTCAGTCTTGGCTACTGGTTTCTGTCCCGATTGTCCTAATTCTCCCTAGGCCTTTTGCTTATTTAGCAAAAAGCCCCTCCAGTATTGTGCCTGGGCGGTGCCTGGATTTAGACTCCTTTGTGTTTGGAGGTGGGATATGGTGTGGAAGTCTTTTGGTTTGTATACAGACTTAGTGAATTTCTAGCCTCTCTACTGCCTTCCACCTTCTCTGAGCTGCTGGAAGGGCCAGTTGCTGCCTCTCACAGTGGCTCTTTTGGCTTGTGTTCCAGGCAGCAACTTCCTTCTGGTGTTTTATTCATCACTTCACTTTCTGCTCTGTTTCTCTGTTGCTGTGATAGAAACACTGACCAAAACCACCTTCGGGAAGAAGGGGTTTATTTCAGCTGAGCACTCCCAAGTCACAGTCCAACATTAAGGGAAGTCAGGACTGGAGCTCAAGCAGAGACCGTGGAGGGAGCTGCCCGCTGCCCTGCTTCCCCTGGCTCCTTCACTGCCTTTCTCACACAGCCCAGGCCCACCTGCTTAGGGGTGGCTCAGCCCTAGTACAGGTCCCCTGTCATGGCAGATGTGGAGCGTATGCTCAACAGTTTCCCTTCCAGCTGTTCTAGGATGTGAAGATGAGCCTTTTCCAGAGTCCTGTGACCTTGACTTACAAGCCTGAAACTTGTGAGCCATTTTGATTTTGCTTAAACTACCTTGTACGTGGTTACAAATTTTGTCTATAACCAAGAATGCTGATACATAATTCTGGTCCATACACTGACTTTTTACTGATAGACATTTTCCTTATTTACTTCATACGTTTTCATTTTTAAATACATAAAAAGTTATCCTAAGATTCTCCTCTTGGTTTTACATTGGTCCAGTATGTAATGTATCCTCTGGATGAACTAAGCATACATGGTTTCATGTCTATTCTTTTGCAATTGATTATTGTTGAGCATCATGTTCATACGTGGCATACTGAGACATGCAGATAGAGCTGGTGACACTTAACCTGCTGCGTAGCATCCCATTGTATGATTAATTCTGTCAGCCAATGTTCTACTCAATGACCAAAGTGGGTGTTGCCACCTTTTTAGCATTACAGTACTGCAAAAATGACCTTTTAAATAAGTTAACATTGTAAACAATTCTCTCATATTCATAGGTTTAAAACTACATTTAGAAAGTCTTCTTGCCTGCAAATATCCTCTTTTTTTGGATTTTTTTTTTAACTTTATACTGCTTTTAATTTTAATGCCAAAATTACAGTCTTTACCCTTATGATTTATACTTAAGAAACTTAGAGCTTGAGGCTTAAAGGAGAGTCTTTGGTATGCTTACCTTACAGTACTGCTTTTCAAATTTAATTACATAATTGAAGTTTATTTTTGTGACTGCTGAAAAAAGGGATCTAATTTTTGAGGTCTCCCTCACCCCCATATGAGCAGTCTATTAGTCTAGACCACTGAGTCCCTCCTTTCCCTTAGTGCTGCTGCTCTGTCATCTGTCCGGTTCCTGAAAATGCCTGGGTCTGCCTCACTGGCCCATTTGTCCCTGTGTCACCAGTCATAGTCTTGATGGTAGCGTTATGGTTCTGAGTTCTGGTGTGGTCCTTTGTTCTTTTTAAGAAGTGTCCTGGTTAGCATATAGTCAGCATGTCACCTGAGTAAAAGTGTTTTGTTTGATACTAACATTTCTATAAGTTAGTGGTACGTATTTCCCATTTATTTCAACCTTTCGTGTCATATTTTAGATTTGTTCTTAAAAGGTATATAGGGTATTGGGGGGAGGGATTTTACTGTGTAGCCCAAGCTATCCTTCAATTCACTGTGCAACCCAGTCTGACCTCAAACTCATGAGTCCTCCTCCTTTCCACTCCTGAGTGCTAGAATTGCAAGTGTGAACTACCATACCTGGTTGGGAATATTTTTTTTCTTAAACCTGTTGTAAACTGATTGTGGATTTGGAAGACCTTGTGACTGGATCAGTATTATTTGAGATTTTGTTAGTACTGTGTATTCTGCTTTGGGATCTCTGTAACTTGTTGCCATATATACATTAACCTTTAAATCAGGTTAAATGTACCCACCTCCTCAAACATCATTTTTTTATGGTGAAAACATTAGAAATTTCCTCTAGCATTTTCAGACAGCACAAGGTTGCTATCTGTGGTCACCTTGTGCTGCAGTGCATCAGGGCTTCCTTTTCTCTCTTAGTCTCTGTCCATCAGCCTTTCCCTCTTGCTTTCCCAACTCCCATTCTACCCTTACCTTCTGTGAGAGCTAATCAAATTAATCAAGACAGTCTTGTTGGCTAGCCCTGCCTCCAACTTGCCTTGCTGGCCTAAATGAGTAGTCCTCCTGCCTTATGTCAGGTGTGTGCCATCATGCCTATCTAAGACACTTTTTATATCCACTTGAGTGCATCATGTAGTACATGTCTTTCTGTGCCTGGCTTTTTCATTTATATAATGCTCATGAATTCCATCCGTGTTGTGGCAAATGACAACATTCCATCCTTTTAAATGGCTGAGCAGTAGTCCATTGTGTATATAGACCATGTTTTCTTTATCCATTCAGCAGTGGGTAGACACTTAGGTTATTTCTATTTCTTGGCTGTTGTGAATAGTGCTTCAATACACATGGTAATGCAAATGTCTCTTCAACATACTGACTTAATTTCCTTTAGATATATTCTGGAAGTGATTGCTGGATCATATAGCTTTTAATTTTTTGAGGAACTTTGATACTGTTTTCTGTAATGGATGTACTGATTTGCATTCCCCCTGAAGTATACAGTTCCTTTTTCTCCACTTTCCTGCCAGTACTTATTATATTAGTCTTTGGGAGAATAGCCCTTATGAGAGTGGTGAAGTGATGTCCCGCTGTGGTTTTGATTTGCATTTCCATGGTTAGTAGTGTTGAGCACGGTTTCATTTTTCTTTTAGCCCATTTGTCTACATTTGGAGAAATGCCTATTTGGGTTTATGTCTTAATTTTGACTGGGCTATATATTTTTGTTATATCAACACCATATGAGATATAGTTTGCACATATTTTCTCCTGTTCTGCTAGCTTATCCTGAAAGAGATGAACCACAGGGTATCTCTTCACAGAGAACTTGTAGTCTTGTGACGTAGAGCAGCGAGCGAACAATATGTGAATGGACATTTGCTCTGGATGCTCTCAATTTCTTCTGCAACAGTCACACTGTGTATAGGCCGCTGTCTCCAGCACTGGCTTAAGAACCATTGGCATGTAGATCACCTGGTTACACTGGTGAAAACGTAATGTCCTCTGTGGGCTCTATTACTGAATCACAATCCCTGGGGGCAGGAGCCTGGGAATTTGCATCTTGAGTCTTCCCAGGCAGAATCGGTACTTTCTTCAGTTATATG